GCCAGGAATGCTTTGAATCCCCGCTCGGCCCCCACCCCCAGTCAAGACCGCTTGGTCCAGGGCTCAGACCCTGTCCCTCCAGCCCCATTGCCACCCACATCCCCACCTGCTCCACGAGGGAAGGACTTCTCAGTGTCAGCCCCGGGAAAGGCCCACCTTAAACTGGCTGTACTGGGCGGTTCCCCTGAGGTGAAAAGGGAGCTGCCAGATAGGACCAAAGCAAGGGCCTATTTAGCCTGGTACTGGAACAAAAACCTGTCACTAAAAAGGAAATCTCAGGGCAATTCTGCGATGCATACATACATAGGTGCATGCATATGTGCACGCACATGTACCCACACACACACACACACACACAAGGCCACAACTGCCCATACATAGCCACACACATGCACATACACAAGCTTGCACAGATAACAGGCATGTCTCTGCGCACATGCATGCACAGGCCTATGAATACACAAGTGCACACACGTCGGTACTGTCACATACCTGCATGCACCCATGGGCACAAGCAGGCAAACACATGCATGTACACAGTCACTCACACCCATGCACATCTGCATCTGCATACACAACCATGCGCCCATCAGCACACACATGATATGCTAAGACATGTATGCGTATGTTCAGCCACCTGCACATACAACCACATCACTGCACAGAAGCATGTGCTTCCTGCATACACATCTGCCTATTCAAATCTACACCTAAACGTGTACACAGTACACATATGTGGATGCAGCTGCACACATGTATACACGTGTTGTGCTTTGGGGGGCGGTCTCCCAGCTGTCAGGCCATAAGGCTACCCAGCTCACCCTGAGATCTCGGCCAGGGGGAATTAGCTCCTGCCCCAACACCCCTAACCACCCTGACCCAAAATAGGCTTTCCCCATCCCAACCCCTCCCCTGAGCCTGGGTGCAACAGGGAGGGGAACTCCTGACACAGGAAGTCCAGGGGCAGCTACAGAAGCAACCCCAGCTCCAGCAGACTCTGGACAAATTCACAGACCTGGGCATTTCAGGTCAGAAAGGCCTGCGAGGGCACCTAATCTAACCTCCAATACAGCATGGGCCAGGGCATCACACCCAGTGATGACCACATTGGGCATAAGCACTTTCGAGATGGGCCTCCAGGCTGGATTTGAAGAAGGCACAAGACAAAAATCCCCCACTTCCCCAGGGAGTCTGTTCCATGGAGTTGAAACTACCCTGGCTGGTCAAAAAACAACCACCCTTGTTTCTAATTGTCTAGCTTCCACTTCAGGCCATTGGTCCTTGTTCTGCCTTCCTCCACAGGATCAGAGCTCTTTAGTACCCGACACAAATACTATTCTATAATGAAGTCACCTCGCCATCATCTTATTGATCTACGAAACCGGCTGAGCATTTGCAGTCTCTCCTTCCTCAATGCATGTGGCTGTATTGAAACACCAGCTTACTAAGTGACCCACATGAATTAGTTTGTATGACTGTCTGGGCCTCATCATTATGGCCCAATCTGCCAAGATTCATGTTATCTGTAAATCTGACCCACTGTGGCTTTCAGTTCCTTTCCAAATCATTAATAAAAATATTAAACAGTGGTCTCATACCTCCCCCTGCAAAATGTCACAGAAACCTGGTGGCTGGACTGGTTGGCCCTGGAGGTCTCTTCCATCCCTAGGATGCTGTGAGGTAGAGCAGATCGCAGAATCATAAAATCATAGAAAATGAGGGTTGGAAGGGACCTCAGAAGGTCACCTAGTCCAACCCCCTGCTCCAAGCAGGACCAGCCCCAACGATCTCATCCCAGCCAAGGCTTTGTCTAGCCAGGTCTTAAACACCTCCAAGGGTGGAGATTCCACAACCTCTACGGGTCAGAAAGGTGACAGAGTCTGAAAGGTTGCCATGACCTGTAGGAATAAATGCTGACGGGCCACAGTGCTCACAGAAGGCAAAGTACCTCGGTGATCCAGACCATGAGGCCTCCAGACAATGGACCAAGATCCAGGTCAAGGGCTAAAGAAAGTAACAGGCAACTTCACTCACCATCCCACTTTTGTGGGGCCTTAAAAGGGACTTTGGATCAAGTGGGCTACCAAAGACACTGTGCTCTGTTCATGTGGTCTAGGGATCATAGCACTGGGAAGGAGCTGGGACTAAGTAGCTGCTCAAGGTCTCCAGCTTCAGTCATGAAAGATTCATTGACAGGCAGGATTTGGCATGACTGTGGGGATGCTGAACTGTCACCACTGCACCCACGGGGACTCCTATTTGAGTCGTGCATGACTCGACTCTGTTCTCATCCTCTCATCTACTCCTGCCCATCCCTGCTTTCTTCTTCCTGTTCTACTTCTCTTTCTTTTGGTCTTTCACCTGATCCTGAGATGGTACCAACGCAATGATAACAGTATCAACAGAAGCTGTGCTCCCTCCAGCCCTTTACTATCCAGTCTCTTCTCTCTCCTTCTGTCTGCCTGCTTTGATGAAGGCCAGGAAAATGACTGAGAACTAAACAACAGAACTAGTACTATCTGGTCTGCAAAATGGGAATAACGTATTGCAGCCTCAGAATGAGAGCACAGGCTGGAAAATGAATGGAGATTGCAAAAAGTTGAGACTATGCAAATATCGCGGCCTATTTTGCCTTCAAAAGATGATCCTGGACAATACCTCAATAATCGCACTCACCACCCCTCTCAGCTTTGGTCTCTTGGTTCAACTCCACTCTAGAATGACAGGCCTCGGAGATGCACACTTGGCCTCTGAGCCAGCCCTCACTCCCAAGGACTGCAGAGAGGCAAGTTAATACCGTCTGAGGGTGGAAGACTGAGTGAATGAGAAGAATATCTTACCAGAGCATATGAGGGGCTGAGGATAGAGCATGGCCCTGTGTGGCCCAGGCAGGGGGTGCTGCTGGTGCTGGGGTGACTACCTGGCATTCCCGCTGGTGCCAAGTCTGGAAGCCAAGTCACTCTTCAGGTCTTCCTGAGCGACTGTACATCTTGGCCGGTTTTGACGGGCTTGACTGTGCATCATCCCAGGGTCGAAGCCGCCATACAGGCACCGTCATTGTTACTGTCCAGCACTGCGAACCAGAACCGAGCTTCTTCGTTCCCTCAAGCAGGGCAGCCTGAAAAATTAGAGTCTCCTTCTATGCGTTTTTGACCCGTGCCCACTCCCTAAGCAGCCAACTGCTTGGTTAGCTCATCCAGACCGAATACTTATTCTCTGTTTTAGCAGGTTCTGCGTGATCTGCTTCCCGGTCTCTCTCCTCTAGAAGCCCTAGCTGGGACTTCCCGGCTGATCACATGCCACGGAGATAAGCCATGGCTCCATGCTCAGGGCCCTAAAGCCTATTTGGCTGTTGGGTGTTATCCAGTGACAGGGTCACCTTAACCCCTGGACTCCTTTATTCCATCAAGGTTAGCGCCCAGCATCTCCCAGCTAACAGCACAACAGCTGCGAGATGTACCAGGGACACATACCAGCACTAGTGGTCTGTCCCGTTCATGGTCAAGGCCACTGCCTGGTCACCAGGGTCCCTCTCTGCTCTTGGGAGCCTTAATGCAAAGCTTGGGGGGGGGGATGAAGGGGCAGGGGGGAGGGAGACGCTCCTGCACACCACTCTTAGGGGCAAGGAGAGGAGACCGACCCCTTGTCTCAGCAAGAGGAGATGCTCCCACCCCCCGCAAGCGAGAGAAGGCCTCTCTGTCCCCCGGCTCCCCAGCTGCAGGGTGCAACGCTAGCGTGGAGACAGGAGGTGCGTCCCACGCCGCTCTGAAACCAGGCCTCGTGCCCCCTCCTCCATGGGGAGGGGGCGCCCCCATCCCCAGCCAGCCCCCCAGGGGGGGTGCGGACCTGGAGCGGAGTCGCAGCTTCCACCCTTCCTGGGGCACCAGCCAGGCTCGCCAAGCCACCCTTCCCAGCATGCCCTGCATTCAATGGGGCGCTCCCAGCATGCACTGCTTCCCACAGTGATTTCCCAAAATGCCTGCTCTGGGGAGACACACCTCCCAGCATGCCCTGCATTCAATGGGGAGCTCCCAGCATGCACTGCTTCCCACAGTGATTTCCCAACATGCCGTGCTCTGGGGAGACACATCTCCCAGCATACCCTGCATTCAATGGGGCGCTCCCAGCATGCCCTGGGCCCAGCAGCGGACACACCTCCCAACATGCACTGCTTCACATGCTGATTTCCCAGCATGCCCTGTGTCCATGATTTCCCAGCATGCCTTGAGACCAGAAGGAGACACACGCACCTCCCAGCATGCACAGCTTCCCAAGATTTCCCTGCATGCCCTGCACTGGGGGGGGGGAGAGGCACGCTTCCCAGAACGCACTGCTTCCCATAGTGAATTCCCAGCATGCCCTGCTTCCATGATGATTTCCCAGCATGCACTGGAACTAATGGGTACCTCCCAGCATGCCCTGCTCTCCTGCAGGCTGGGCAGGGCAGGTGCAGAGCATGCTGGGAGCTGTAGTCACTGATGCCTGGAGGCTCTCTCGCTCTGCCCCATGCTATGCATGCAGGGACAGCGGGCACAGCCAAGGCACAAAGGGCTGGACATGCTGGGGCAGGCTCGCCCCACCTACCCTGGGGTGCTTGGGCACCCAGGGCACCAGGAGAGCGTAGAGCAGCTGCCTGGGGACCAAGTGCTTAGCCTGCTCCTGAACTAGGAGGACGAGAAGGGACCGTCCCTGTGCCCAGAGCTGGGATCCTGCTGCAGTCACTGGACTCCAGAAGCTGGAGCTTGGAGCAGAAGTCCAAGGGGACCTCTCTGGATTGCACTGGTAACTGGCACCCCCAGATCCCTGTGACCACCCCAACCCTGGCGGTCGCCTGCGCAGCATCCTTCCCCCACCTGACCACCACCCTGCCTGCTCACCTGCCCCCCGCTCACCCGTCCTCCAGCTGGCTCTGTCTGTCTTCTCTCTCTTTCTATCCATCTAGCCATACATTTTTCTAGGGTGTCTGTCTTTCTCTGCCTCCTTTCTAGCTCTCTTTTCTGCCTCTCTTGCTACGTAGTATCTATACATCCTTCTAAACTGGCTATCTTTGTCTGGCTATCTTTTCTGTCTCTCATTCTCCATCTCTGTCTCTATCCATATACTCTCTGTACGCCCTTTTAAGTGGTCTGTCTTTTTCTGTCTCTCTGTCTGCATAGGCACCTTTGTAGTTGTTCTAGTAATCGCCTTTCTAGTCAACTTTCTGGCTGTCAGTTTGTCCCCATATGGCCCTTCCTTCTATCCGTCCATCTCATGCTTCCTTGGCTCTCATTGCTGTAGTACTAAATGCCTCCTGATCTTTAATGGGTTTATCATCAGCATCTTCTTGTGAGGGACAGGACTACTGCATGGCCAGGAAACCGAGGCACAGAGATGCCCTCAAGCCATTCTCATGTCTTGCAGGTGTTGCCTCTTGGCTCCTAAATTACCTGGGTTGTGACAGTGTTTCACTCTATGTCCCCATATTCTGTACCCAAATTATTTAACCACTGTGAGTTGCCCCTCTCCCCGCCCCCAACCCTGACCAGAGAATTAATATAAAGTTAAGCTGTAGTTTCCAAGCCTGCATACTAGGGTGTGCTTTAAACTTTCTGTCTACAACTCCCTGTGTCTAAGAGACTTGACCAAGGGTGCCGGAGGAATCTGTGGCAGAGGAAAGAACAGACCCCCGCCAAAGCCCAGCTTGGTGCCCTGGCCTCTAGCTAACCTACCCCCCATACCCATATGGTAGGGGTTAGGCTGGCATGACAGGCCAGAGGCTTGCGTGTAGCCTGACACGAGGCACTGAAGTGCAGTGGGGCAATACTCAACCCTCTGCCTCTCTGCTTGCTGGGAACTCTCAGTCCTTCAGAAAATCCCTTCCCATCTGCCTTGAAAATGATCCCAGGGCTGAAGGCTTTGCAGGAGCCCAAGACAGTCAAGTGCCAAGAGCCACTAAATGCCCCTGGTTTTGGCCACTTGCACACTGAATGCCCCTGGGTTGAAGCCTGTGAACCATCCTATTTGCAGCCTCTGTTGGGAAATTGGCCTCAACCCACTTCACAGTCAGCATGTGCAGGTGCCATACAAGGGGATCTCCCTGAGGGAGCCCTCCTGGGGCTGCCAGCACTAACCATGCCCAAGGATCATGGGCCAGATTGTCCACATCACCCATACTGCCCCCCCTAAGCATACCCCCCCATGACACCACACACCCTGTCTGTGCAGCCACTGTGGGCCACAAGCAGTGTGGAGGGGGCTGGGCAGTGCCAGGATGCCCCAGGAGGAGCTGGGTACGGAGAGAGCATCTCCCTGTGGGGCTGGCTCTGTCTAAGCTTTTGTGTCTGGGAACCTTCCAAGCTACAGCCATCCAAAGGGGTTGCACACACTGGCTGCAGCTCATGGACCCGTTCTCTGTGGGCAGAGCCCCAAGACGGCTGGCTCAGTTCAGCCCAGGGGCTCAGAGTGGACTTATGCCCTGTGGTGCCCAGGGTACCCCACAGGGCACTGCTGAGGGCCGGCTGCACGTGACTGGTCAGAGCCAACTTGGGTGAGGCTGGCCTCACATAAGTTACCCCCTCCCCAGGCTGGAGAACTCTAAGAGCCACTGAAGGAGCCCCCCATTCATTATCTAATGAGGCAGCTAAGGAGAACGGTGCTGGTAGGAGACCTCTGTGAGCTGCATTTGAGGGCCCTGGGTCCTTTCTGGGTCTGGCCAGGTACTTTCTGCCCTGGTACGAGCCATGTCACATCAAGACCTGACCCCCAAAGGCACTGAGTTCAGGGTTGTGGGCCAGAGCCGGAATTCACTAAGCACTAGGCAGCCCCTGATCTCTCCTGTCTCCTGTGCCCAGGTTGCTGTGATCACCTGCATGGAGGAGCTGTGGGCCCTGGGTCTCCAGGTCAGTGAAAAGGGGGAGAGTCCTAGTAGTGCCCAGCCAAGAAGGGGTTAATGTCCCCTGGTACCTTCAGTGTGGGGGTGACAATGGGAAATTGCTTTAGTGCCCTGCAAGTGCTCGGCTTCTGCCCTTCTGGGCGTCTTTCCAGTCTGCGCCATAGCCCCTTGGCAAAGTGACTAGGGGAGCTCCCCAGGATGACCCTGGGGCACCAAGATGCGGTGGGGGCAGGGGTCCAGGCCCTGGTTTTAGGCCCATAACTGGCAGGCCCAGGGGCCCCGTGTCCCAGCACTGGGTCCTGGAGAGCAGCCAACTAGCAAAAGTTTTAAGGTCATAGAGGGGAACCACCTCCCAGGGCCATCACCCTCTTGGCTGGATACATGGGGCAGCAGGAGCACAGCAGGTTTTCCCTCTGGATCTGGCACTGGGGAGCCCTACTGCTCTACAATGGGAATTTGCCTGGCTCTGACCTATCCCTGTCGACTCTTATTGCATCATTAAAAAGCCAGTCATTTCAAAAGAAGCAGTTATTATTTTGCCCCTGCGACTGAATTTGGTATTAAAAACCCTTGAGTCTTCCGAGGAACTCAGGGAGAGAAAAGGGTTATTAACCCTCAAGGACAGTGTTGGCACCAGAACAGCTTGGAGACCTGGGTATGGTACCTGTAGGGTGGGAATGAGCCCAAGGTTTCTAACCATGAAGCAGTGAAGTGTCCAGTCCATTGCCATTTTGAAGGTCCTCTGGAAACTAGGAGGTTCCCAGTCCTTTGACTGGCATCTGTATATGGGTGCAATCCCCTTCAAGCAGTCACAGTTGGATAAAAGGCAAAGAAAGCCTTGTACTGAGCCTTAGTGCCTGGGAAGTCTGCAGGAAGAGCAGGCACCTGGGGAAAGAAATTGCAAAGAAGCACCAATTTCCTATTCCACCCTATACAGGGCAAGACCCTCTAGCCAAGAACCTGGAGTTTTATCCCCCTAAGAGCATCATCATCAGTCACACACCCCAGTCAAAACCCCCAGCTTTGGCTGCAACGAACACCCAGTGCTCCTGAGGAAGTGGGGGGAGAGGGGAAACCCTGGCAGAAGAGGAAAAAATTCCTTGCTGGACCCATGTAGTCCTGGAAAGACCAAATGCTCCTCACTGTTCTGCAACCTAGGGACACCAAACCACTCCACACATCCTACATCCTACTGGAGCCAGAACCACCCCCCACTCTCTTCTGTAATTATGCCACCACCGTAAACTAATCCCAGCTCCTTTAATCTTCCTTTGTAAGTAACATGGTTGCAGAGCTCTCCTTCATTCTTTGCCATTGGGCATAGTCCTCTCCAATATGGGAAAAGGAAGGAAAAGAAAATACAGTGAATAACTCAAGGTTACCTAGGTGACTGGAGAGTCACAGAGTGGCAGCAGTGGCATACAGCGCTCCTGTTTTAATTGTCCATCACATGGTGCCCTCAGAGTAAAGAGCAGTCCTACCTTTCTGTGATTCCTTGCTTAGAAAGAAGCATCTGATCCAAAAATCATTGAGAACTGCTGCCTTACATCATCTCCTCTGACTGCCCTTATAGCACAGGCTGGGGAATGCCACCCAGATGTCCCTGTATTAAGCCCAGTTACTTGGGTTTGGCTAAAGGTAAATTAAATTTGGAGAAGAGATGCTTTGGGTGACTGGGAGGATGTGATAGTAGCTTTTAGATATTTGAAAAGCTGCCATAAAGGAGAAACGTTATTTTGCCCTGCCTTGAGTCAGGGCCCTGACTCTGCCTTTTCTCAATAGGTGTTTCCTGAGCTGTGTAATGTGATGTGGTGTTTCTCCTTCCCGGAGCCCAGGCAGTGGATCTGTGTGCCAAGTATTCACTGTGAGTCACCATGTCTTCTCCATCTTCTCTTGGAAGAAGTGACCTGAGGGTAGCTAGACCCTGTGAGGGGGAAAAGAAAGAGGCTGACACACCTGAAAGGCTGTGATACTGGGAATGGAGGCTGCACTGTAGGAAAGTGGCTAGTCTTTTACCAATAACACCCAGTCTGGCACTTCTATGTGTAAGAAGAACCACAGGAATTGGACTGGAAAACAGACCAACAGGCCCTCAGAAGAGACAGAAACTAGATGGGAAGGAGGGATGGGCAACATGATGGCTAAATACAACTCAGTGCTTGGAGGAGACTTATTCTTCCTCTCACAGCTTCCAGGAAGCAAGTCAGGCACTGGGCTGCGCATGGAGGTGACTCCTAGGTGCCCTGCCGTGCCCCATAAAACCAAGAGGACAATACGTGAGATGGAAGGAAGACAATTTGGATCAACCAGATGGCAAAACCTCCTTCCCTTCGTGCGGCCTGTGCAACGCTCTGCCACCAGGTGTGGTTGAAGCCAGGGGATTAGTAAGGCACCAAGCAGGCCTAGATGGTCCTGTGGTCATGTGAGCACCCCAGTGCTCCAGCAGAGACACCCAGACACGTGCCTCGCATTGTTGACCAGTCCCTAAGAACAGGTTGAGACTTTGTATGGGGCCAGATGATCCACCCCTGCTGCTACCCACCTGCCCCTGGTGCCTCTGGTGCTGGAAGCTGGTCAGAACCAGGGCTTCAGCTCTGCCCCTGCCTGGTGGTGCTGTGTCTGGGGAGTGTCAGTATAGCCCAGGGAGTGGCAATAGTCTCTGATAGGAGAGGCACAAAGGCTTATTTGGAAAGGAATTGAGTTGAGAGGAGTCATAGACAGGAGTCCTGCCCTCCCTGCACCACTATCTCAGGCTGCGGGCAACACCCAGTGAGGATGAGGCAGCCTTTGACCTTTCCTGTCTCCCTCCTCAGCAGGACACTGACCTCAGACTGCTGTGATTGCCTACATGGAGGAGCTGCAATCCCTAAATCTCCAGGGATGTGAGGAAGTAGAGATTCCTGGCAGTGGCCAGCAAGGTGAGGAGGGCTTTAACTCAGCCCCAACACTTTGACATACATAAGAACATAAGAGCTGCCGTTTATTGAGCCAAACCATCAGGCCATCTTGCCCAGTCTCCTGCATGATGCTGAAATGGAAAGTGAACTGGGTCTGACCAAGGTTTTTTTTTCCACTGTCCCTTTTCTGCTTGCAGCCTCCAGCATTTAAGGTCTAGGAAGTTCTGAGTCAGAGGCTGTGCCCCTAACTCCCATGCTCAATAGCTACTGAGGTCCCTTTCCTCTAAGAATGTGTTCAGTCCCTTTTTGGATCTGGCTAAGTTGTCAGCCTCCATCACCTCTTGTGGCAGCGAGTTCCACGCTTTAATGACACACTGGTGGTGACAAGAGGACACCCCCGTCCCCAACCCCATGTGGCTGGGAAGTGCTGTCAGGGTTCACATTACTTAACCTGTGCCCTGCCCTCCCTGACTTAGCCTGGTCCTTGCACAGGTGGCTTGAGAGGGGCCTAGGTGGTCAGAAAGGTCATTAGTGCAGCAAACCCCTCAGCCAAGTGGGGAGGTCTGGTGGCCGGGTCTGTCTAAGCAACCCCTCACCTTGCCCTGGAGCTAGGAAGAACTTGCATGTGTGCATGTGCTGTGTGTCCTGGCAGGCACCGCAACCACAAGTGAGAGTGCAGAGGGGTATTGCCCCATGGGCTGGCTTGGAACAGCAGAGCCAGGAGCCCAGGGCCACGTTGGCCTGAAGCCCGAGTGGGACAGAGCTGACGAAGGCGAGCAACGGTCCAGGAGAAGAAAGGTGGTTCGGCAAGCCCAAGGCACCGGCGCTACCCTCCCTCGGGAGCGCCGCTTCGTGTGTGGGGAATGCGGGCGGGCCTTCAGTGCCAATGCCCACCTGGTGAAGCATGCACGGACACACACAGGCGAGCGCCCCTTCCCCTGCCCTGACTGCGGGCGCCGCTTCACACAGAGCGCCAACCTGGCGCACCACCAGCGCCTGCACACGGGCGAACGACCCTTCCCCTGTGGGGAGTGCGGGCGCTGCTTCCGCATGAAAGCTGACCTGGCACGACACCGTGCCTCCCACACAGGCGAGCGCCCGTACCCCTGCCCCGACTGTGGGCGCCGCTTCAGCCAGAGCTCCAACCTGCTGCGGCACCAGCGTGCCCATACTGGTGAACGCCCTTTCCAGTGTGGTGAGTGCGGGGCTGGCTTCGCCCGCCGCGCCCACCTGGCCGCCCACCGGCGCACCCACACAGGCGAGCGCCCCTATCAGTGTGGGGAGTGCCACGAGGGCTTTGCCCAGATCGCTGCCCTCATTCACCACCGCCGCCTGCACACGGGCGAGCGCCCCTTCCAGTGTGGCGAGTGCGGCAAGGCCTTTGCACGCGCTGCCACACTGCTGCACCACCGCCGCTTGCATGATGGTGAGCGCCCCTTCCCCTGTACCCAGTGTGGCAAGGCTTTTGCCAGCCGTGCTGCTTTGCACCAGCACCACCGTGGCCACTCAGGCCTGGCCCCCTTCCCATGCAAGGAGTGCGGGGCTGGCTTCGCCGTCAGCTCTGCACTGCTGCGGCATCGGCGCATTCACACTGGCGAGCGCCCCTATGTCTGCGTCCAGTGCGGGGCCAGCTTCACCCAGAGCTCAGCCCTCACCCGCCACCAGCGGTTGCATGACTGAGACGGCCTGGCACTGCTCCTGCATGCAGGCAAGGACGGGCCTGGGGAGGAGGGAAGAGGTCCCAGTGGAGGGGCTCTGGGATCAACATGTGGATTGACTTTTCAACAGGGGCTGGGTCAGGTGGACAGAGAGATCATATGACATGGCTGCCTAGAGCATCAGGGCATTGGGCATAGGGACCTGAGCCATCCCTTTGTTCCTGGGAGTGGGGGCTGGTTGAATGGGTCATTCTGGGGTCCTAGGAGATAGGCTTGTTTGTTGGAGTGGGGAGGAGAGGAGCTGGATCCTGAAAAATCAGGCTGCTGAGCAGAGAGATTGTAATAAAAGGGAACCACAGCTGGGTTTTCACATCCTTTCTATGATAAAATGAGCACAAAGTTCAGGCATCACGTATGGAATGGGTTCACATGGGGCCATCTCAGACAGGAGACTGCAAAGGGGAGCTCAAGATGCATGGGGTCGGGGGAGAGGAAAGTTGAGTCTTACAAAGCACCTGGGGCACCTGCAGCCAAGGTTGGACCTAGGAGTACAATGCTCCAGCCACAGGGGAGCAGGCAGTGGTCTGAACAGTCCCCATCCCCTTTAAAAACCTGGGATAAAACTGTAGCTGAGGATGGAGCCAGGTGGAAGGCAGACAGACTTGAGGACAATTTTGATCATTATAATTTATTTATTTATTTATTTAGAAAGTTTGAGGGAAATCTGAAAATTTTCCTTTCAGGTTTCTTGGGACTTTTTTTTAAGGTTTACATCAGTCGGAAATAATGTTTGGAACTCCCCGTCCCATATTATTTAATACCATATCAGTAGTTAGCACATATTTCTCTTATTTCACAGTAACCAGTAGGATTAGTGACCTGCTGTAAGATGACACAAAAGCTGAAACATTCTCTTTGATTTCGAAAATCATGAAGAGTAGCTGCTCAATTCAGACCAAAATGGCTCATGTTTTTCTTGCTCAAAGCATCTCCAACTTGTTATAACAAAACAGTAGCATTTCCCTCATTTTTTTAAAAAATATATCATTTAATTATTGTATTTAATTTAAAAAAATATATAAAAATAAAATATGAACTGTTTCAATTGTGTTGTCATTAATAGCCCGATACTCATCACACACACAAAATATGAAATGGCCTTTAAAAATGAAAAATTGGGAGAGGGGGATATAAAATTAAATTCCAAGTGTTATTTCATCGTCCAGAAGCGGGACTTTGGGGGAATTCCTCTTTTGTGGGACGTTTCAGAGTTGCTGGTCTGAGTATGTGGACCCAGGTCAAATACTGCATCTCAAAGCTTCCTTCCACAAGTTTTCTAGGTGCCAACCATCTCCCAGCGTGGATTTGGGCAACTCTGCTCTCCACAAACTAATTGGCTTGAACCTCGGTGGTTTCCTTTAGTGGTCCAGCTTTTCACAGGCAGGCTGGGCTGTTGCTCTTGGCATGTAGGGCTGGGAGGGGACAACAGCCCTACAAACAGTACCTTGGAGGGTCGATGCAGTGGGGAAGGGATCTGAGGGATCCCCTTGGGATGAACTGCTGTTTGGAGGCTATAAAAGTGTCCTGTGAACCTCCTTCCTAAACACAATCCTTTCTGCTGGTTTGGGAGAGGCTGACTGCAAAGCTACAAGCCTGCTTGCAGGAAGGCAGGCAGCAGAGAAGCAAGCCTAGATTGATTCATGGGAAACCCCTGGGCCTGACTTAGAAGCAGGGCAGGTGATCGGCATGGGTGGAAATAAGACATATATAGGCTTGGCTTCGGGGTTAGAGGCACACTGGTCCTGAGCATCATGGGGAGAAGAGGGCTGAGGCCGAGAGGCCAAAGCCAAATTAGGGCAAGGGTTCCTAGTAGGCTGAAGCCGAAGGGCTGAAACCAAGGTGGGAGAAGAGGCTGGAGGCTGAAGGGCTGCAGCTGAGCTAGGGTGAAGGTATCAAATAAAGTAGGCAAGGCTGAGGCCAGCCACTGACAGTAAGACCCACAAGGCATGGGCGCAACTATGGGGGAGGCCAAAGCCATGATTAGTACCAGTAGGGTATGACTGGTGGCCACCAGTGTTTTAGTTCATGGGCTTAGGGGCCTGCAGCACACAGGCAGGGCTTGGAATAGAGGAAAAGTTAGGAACATACACCCAAGGGTGGAGGCTGAGACTAACTTGAGAGAGAAACACCCTATTCATGGGCTAGGGAAGGTCACCTTTGATGACACGCAGGGTGGAGTGAGGCACCTAGGGCCTCATCCCGGTCTCTGAAGGCAACCTCCCTTATATTTGCACTCACAGACCATCAAGGTGTGGCAGACGGATGGGGCAGCAGAGTGATACCCTGGATGGACAGAGTCGTGGGAAAACAAGGGTGGTTTGGCCATTAGGGGCCCAACCAATGCCCCCGATGGTAAAAATGATGCCTTTCGAGTTGGAATTTGCCTGGCTTCAGCTTCCAGCCACAGAAACAACACGGCAGTCAGGAGAAAGCTTCAAATCAGGTCCTACCCACAGGGGCAAGGAGGAGCAGAAGAGAGCCTGGGTCTGCTCTGGTCCTGCTCTCCATCCAGAAGGGTTGCTCTCCTCCTGGAGCCTCATGGCCCACCCAGAGGTGACACCTAGCTCTTCCCCCACTGAGCAGATGGAGAAGGAGTCACTCAGGTCCCAAACAATATGCTGACAGCATCTGGGGCCTGCATGCTCGGTCTCATGGCACGTGGGTGCGGCGGTGCTTGCAGAGATAGGCGCGTAGGCGGAAGCGCTTGCCACACTGCATGCACTCATGGGCTGGCCCAGCCCCATGGATGAGGCGGTGTTTGCAGAGGTAGGAGCGCTGGCCAAAGCGCTTCCCGCACTGTGTGCACTCGTGCGGCTTCCCCAGCCTGTGGGTCCGCCGGTGCTTCACCAGGTAGGAGCTGCGACTGAAGCTCTTCCAGCATTCGGAGCACTGAAAGGGCTTGTCCTGTCCCATGGTCTGGGCACCCTCCGGCAGGCTGCTCTCCTCTTCCTTTTCAGCTTGGAAACTCTGTGGCACTATCTGAACAGGGCTCCACGCCATGCTCCCCTGTGCACCGTGGCAGGGCTCCATGTGGCCTCCTTGCAATGCAGTCAGCTCTGAGCTCTGAGCCATGCTCCACTCTGCACTGTGGCAGGGCTCAATGTGGCCTCCTTGTAACGCAGTCAGCTCTGAGCTCTGGGCCATGCTCCCCTGTGCACCGTGGCAGGGCTCCATGTGGCCTCCTTGCAATTCAGTCAGCTCTGAGTTCGGGGCTACACTCCCCTGTGCACCATGGCAGGGCTCCACGTGGCCTCCTTGCAACAAAGTCAGCTCTGAGCTCTGGGCCACAATCCCCTGTACACCATGGCAGGGCTCCACGTGGCCTCCTTGCAACAAAGTCAGCTCTGAGCTCTGGGCCACAATCCCCTGTACACCATGGCAGGGCTCCACGTGGCCTCCTTGCAACAAAGTCAGCTCTGAGCTCTGGGCCACAATCCCCTGTACACCATGGCAGGGCTCCACGTGGCCTCCTTGCAACAAAGTCAGCTCTGAGCTCTGGGCCACAATCCCCTGTACACCATGGCAGGGCTCCACGTGGCCTCCTTGCAACAAAGTCAGCTCTGAGCTCTGGGCCACACTCCCCTGTTCACTGTGACAGGGTTGCACATGGGCTCCTTGCAACACAATCAGCTCTGAGCTCTGGGCCACACTCCCCTGTTCACTGTGACAGGGTTGCACATGGGCTCCTTGCAACACAATCAGCTCTGAGCTCTGGGCCACACTCCCCTGTTCACTGTGACAGGGTTGCACATGGGCTCCTTGCAACACAATCAGCTCTGAGCTCTGGGCCACACTCCCCTGTTCACTGTGACAGGGTTGCACATGGGCTCCTTGCAACACAATCAGCTCTGAGCTCTGGGCCACACTCCCCTGTTCACTGTGACAGGGTTGCACATGGGCTCCTTGCAACACAATCAGCTCTGAGCTCTGGGCCACACTCCCCTGTTCACTGTGACAGGGTTGCACATGGGCTCCTTGCAACACAATCAGCTCTGAGCTCTGGGCCACACTCCCCTGTTCACTGTGACAGGGTTGCACATGGGCTCCTTGCAACACAATCAGCTCTGAGCTCTGGGCCACACTCCCCTGTTCACTGTGACAGGGTTGCACATGGGCTCCTTGCAACACAATCAGCTCTGAGCTCTGGGCCACACTCCCCTGTTCACTGTGACAGGGTTGCACATGGGCTCCTTGCAACACAATCAGCTCTGAGCTCTGGGCCACACTCCCCTGTTCACTGTGACAGGGTTGCACATGGGCTCCTTGCAACACAATCAGCTCTGAGCTCTGGGCCACACTCCCCTGTTCACTGTGACAGGGTTGCACATGGGCTCCTTGCAACACAATCAGCTCTGAGCTCTGGGCCACGCTCCCCTGTGTATTGTAGCCTTGTAGTGCAGTCAGTTTGGAGTTCTGGGTCACTGACCCCCACGGGCCGTGGCAGGCTTCCACCGGGATTCCCCCAAGAGCTATCAGTTCTGAGCTGTGGGCTATGGGTCCACCTGCACCACCAAAAAGTTCCATGTGGACTCCCTGAAGTGCACTTAGCTCTGAGCTGTGCGCTGTGCTCCCCTCAGCACCGCTGTACCGCTCCACATGGACCCCTTGAAGTGTAATCAGCCCCAAGCTGAGGGCCATGCTGCCATCTGCACCACTGCAGGGCTCCACGTGGACACCCTGCAATGAAAGCAGCTCTGGGCTCTGTGCGGCGTGGACCTCTGCACCCTGGTAGAGTTCCACGTGGCCGTCCTGAAGTGCAGCCAGAGCCAGGTTCTCTACCGTGGCTCCCTCTGTCCCACAGCAGGCCTCTACGTGGCCTCTCTCCGCCACAGTCAGCTCTGAGCTCTGGGCCACAGAGCAGAACTCCTCATGTCCTTTGTTTAGTGCTGGGCTTGGGGCCAGGCTTCCCTCCGCATGCCCTGTGTTCACTGCAGTCAGCTGCAAGCCCTGGGCTGTGCTCCCTGCTGCACCGTGGCAGGGCTCCGTGGCATGAACCCTCTGGTGCTGCAGCAGGCGTGAAGCCCGGCTGAAGCCTCGCCCGCACGTAAGGCAACAATGGGGCCGCACGCCCGTGTGCACATGCTGGTGCCTCAGCAGGTCCGACCTCCAGAGAAAGCTCTTCCCGCACTCCCCACAGGCATGGGGCTTCTGCTTGCTGTGATTCTTCCGGTGGGAGTTCAGCTTGGAGGGCCGGCTGAAGCTCTTGCCACAAGTGAAGCAGATATACAGCTGGCACCCCGCAGCAGGATCCTGGGCTATGGTGATGTCCTGCAAGGGATTCACCTGTTCCCTCCCAGGCAATGGATCGTAGCGGCTGTTCTTGCCCTTCATCTTCCTGGGCGGATTCCTCCTCACTACCTGGCGCTGACGTAGCTCCGGGCTCTGGGCAACGTTTTCTGCAGCGCTCTCCACGAATGCTGACTCTGGCTCCGGTGACAGCCCCCATGTCATGGCTGGCTCTGAGACATCCTGCTTCGCAGTGACGGCACCTGCTGAGATGCAGAGTGGAGCACAGTTGCACCCGAGTCCCTCCTTGCCCTATGGCAGGGGAAGGATGGAGAAGGGGATCCCGGAGAGCCCACCAAGTCCCAAGCTGAAAGGGACAAATGTGCCCATCCAATCCATCCCCCTGAGTAACAGCGTGGGTTGGGAGTCCCCTTTCAACCAAAGTGCATCTTTTAAAAAGCTTGGTTTAAACCTGGCCAATGTGAGACAACCCACTGCAGCCCTGGGCACTCTTCCAACAGCCAAATCCCCTCCCGGTTTTCCCCGGTAAAAGGCTGCCCTTCAGTTCCACTCCAGATTTGTCCAGCTCCAGGCACTCGAGCTCGGTCAGCGTTTGCCTGCTGGATTTGACCCGAGCCCCACAGAGCTCCTTATGGATGGGATCAAGCCTTGCCCCCTGCCCAGTCTCCTCTCTGACAAGCTCCTGGAGTCTGACCCTTCTCAGGTCTCTCC